AGCGGTCACGTGACGTGGAGGGACGCCCACGCCTGGCACGAACGGCACGTGCCCAGCATTTTGCAATACATCACCGGGGTAATGGGGGCGGTGGCGCGGGGTCCGGTCACGGGCGAGGACGCTTGGCGGGGCGTCCGGAAGCGGCCCCGGAAACAGGGCTAAACAAGCGGGGCGAGCAAGTAAACAACATGTCGGGGTGTGATGTGGCGAACACATTCGACTCATGACGTACGTGTTTATGCTGAGTGATCGGGGAGGGACGTAATCCGTTCCTTTTCGCCGCTTTCCTTTTATCTCCGGTGCACGGCAGCTGGCGGCGCTTTGCTTACATTTTGAATGCCGAGACACCTAATCGGATGTGCTGGCGTCTCTCCGACCGACTCATAAGTCACGTGGTGAGCTGCAGGCACTCTAACCCTCTAGACAATAACTCTCTGAAGCACTTCAGCAGACGTGTTGCCATGCTTGGGAGCGTGATGGCGACATTTTCTTAGCTTTCAGCAGCGGTGTGTTTATGCTGCACAGAAAGGTCTGGACAGCCGACGGTTGCGCCCCTTCGTCAGACTGTATGTGTGTGTGTGGGGGGCGGGGGGGGGGGGGGCGAAGCGCGCATTTGTTACCAATGATGTTACGACTTGGTGGAAGCCACACACTCATGCGTGCTGTACAAGACAGCATGATCTGCACTACACGGAGAAGGTGGATGCTTGCAGTTGGTTTTCGATGGCTCCATTAAAGCTGACACGACGCTGCCCGCCTCCTACCGACTTCCTTACTGCGTCTTTTTGCGCGATTATGCTAATAATGCTGTGTTGACAAAAGCAGTTTCCTCGGTGCACTTGGTGCAACTTGTTTATTCCCAAGGTCACGGGATCTCCTGTTCGCCGGTGCTCAGCGGGCTCACACTCACCCAGCGGCCGCGCCAGTCGACGATCACCATTAACATCCCGCGCCTCTCGCTCGAGCTCGGCGGCGCGCTGGTGACGCTCGGCGGCGCGCTGGTGACGGCCGTGACGAGCCGTGACGTGACGCGCGGGTGGTGGCTCGCGCGGCGGCCGGGCGCGGCGGGGCGTCCCCGAGACGGCGGCGCACCCCTGATGAATGGCTCGTCTCCGGAGGTCAGGGTCACACCGCCGCGCCGCGCCGAGCCGACCAAGCCCGCTCCCAGACCGACGCCGAGCGGCGCCCGGCTGGCCGCGGAGGGACGCCAGCTCCGACCCGGCCAAGAGCGCCGCCGGTCGGGACGCTCTTCATAGTTGTGCGACGGCACCAGGTAAGCCTTTTACGAAACGGCTGAGGCGAGTTCTTTTACGAAATGATTGAGACGAACTCCTTTGCGAAACGATTGAGACGAACTCTAACGGAATGATTGAGACCAATTCTTTTACGAAATGATTGAGACGAATTCTTTAACGAAATGATTGAGACGAATTCTTTAACGAAGTGATTAAGACGAATTGTTTTACAAAATGACTGAGACGAAGTATTGATATCACGGATGGAAGTTATTTGAACAATCGTGCAAACGGCTTTTCAATAGAATTCCAAATCGTTTAAATCTATTCATTATTCGCAAATGATCATCAATAATTACTGTTTGTTGGCACTCATCTAGCTATGTGTAGTGTACAAAGCGGGTAAGTGTAAACAATCGAGTGCTTTTTTTTATTTCTAACTGCCTGTTGATGAAGAGAGAATGAACGGAAACAGAGGTCACGACCCAGCTCTCTGGCATGGGCACCATCGGCTCAGTATTTTGCATTGTTAATTCGTTTTATGCCTCCACCGCGGAAAACAAATGGCAGACCGTTGGAGTTAATGGTACCTGCAACCTCCCGCTGGAGTGCCTGAGTGGTGGCAGTTACGGTCCATCGCTCAACTCAATCGATTGGCACTGTGCACCATGGCGCACTGGCAAGGCCATTGCTCTTTGCTTAAAACCATGACAAGGCGGTCCTTGCACGAACTGACACCGTTGCATTAGTCAGGTGATTTCATAGACTGTTGTGCAATAAGTTTGTGATTTAGGCGTGGTGAAGGAAGACCTTGTTTGCGTTTCTCGCGGGCGGTCTGGAATCGGTGGATGTGTGAGCCGCTGTTGATTGCGTGTTTGCGCGAAGGAATGCAGCCGAAGGATAACGAATTGCTAACTTATCCTGGAAGTGAACAAAATAAAAACGCTGCGATGTTTGTCTTCGCTGTCCATCTCCACCGCCTACATATGATATTTCAGAATAGCAATTTTACGGCGGACTGATGCCTCGACGAGGTTTTGAAACGTTTTAAAGAAGTTTTAGCGAATACTTGACACTGAAAATTGGGCATTGGAACTTGGAAATGATTGTTTGAATACAATTTCATGAACATTCAACGATCACTAAATGGAAGACACAAGCGTGCATCCGCTTAGTTCACCCAGTTTCTTGGGTGGGACCAGGCAACGGTGTTCGTCGATCGAGGCACTGGAGGCAGAACTTCCCTTTTTCCAGTAGTGCACCGCTTTTTCCGCTTGAATTCATGCCCTGTATCATCCACGCGCGGCGCCAGCGGAGGGGCGGAGAATGGGGCCCGTGCCTTCCTGGGCTCTTGCGTGCTCCACGGCGGCGGTGACGAAAGCAACATGCTTTGTGCTGGAAGTCTTCCCCGCATTGTATGGTGGAGCGAAAATAAAATCAAGTTTTGGGTTGTCAAAAAAACACGCGCGTGGGTGCATGTTTTTAAACGGAAAATCGGGACCAGCAATATTTGTAACATTTTGGGTAGGGCGCACGCAGCGCTTTCTTAACCATATATAGTCTAGCAAACATTGAAATCTATGATGGTTTTGGCCAAGGCATTGTGTATTGGAAGGCAGGACGCATTCAGTCTCAGTTCCAGTGTCATTTGTTATTGTCTATCGCCATAGTAACAATACTCACCCTAACACTGTACGTTGTGAACAAACTCTCTGGTTGGCCAGAGAGTTTGCAACGTACGGAATATTTCGTACGCTCATATATATATATATATATATATATATATATATATATATATATATATATATATATATATATATATATATATATATAATATAATAATTATATAGTCCTCTCTCTTCTTCTCTCTCTCATCTCTATCTCTCTCTCTCTCTCTCTCTCTCTCTCTCTCTCTCTCTCTCTCCTCTCTCTCTCTCTCTCTCTCTCTCTCTCCTCTCTCTCTCTCTCTTCTTCTCTCTCTCTCTCTCTCTCTCTCTCTTCTCTCCTCTCTCTCGTCTCTCATCTCCTCTCTCTCTCTCTCCTCTTCTCTCTCTCTCTCCTCTCTCTCTCTCTCTTCTCTCTCTCTCTCTCTCTCTCTCTCTCTCTCTCTCTCTCTCTCTCTCTCTCTTCTCTCTCTCTCTCTCTCTCTCTCTCTATCTCTATCTCTCTCTCTCTCTCTCTCTCTCTCTCTCT